GTGTGGCTGTCACCTCCTCACATCTTAGCTGCATAGAGTGGGGATGCCGCCCTCTGAAGATGAATATATGATACTGCTCTGCTGGCAAGACATGTTTAGCCCATGTCTTTCTGTGTAGGCTGGTGCCCAGAAGCCTAGAAGTAGTTGTGTCAGACTTAATGTCTAACTGAGCTCAAAAAGGCCCCTTGGAGAACACTGCAGCTTGCAGAATTCTCAGTTGTACTGCTGACATCTGAAATCCTCACCAGTGTTCTGCTATTGTTCTATGTGCTGACAGCTATCGTTCTATGTACCAACATTTTCCTATGACATACAGAAATATACAAACTGACTACTTAACACATTAGAAACAGGAATGCTGACTACTAGTTCTAAAATCCCCATTGAACTTTGCTTATATTGTAAGTTTGGTGCATGTCTTGTATCATTTGGTATAGTGTCTGGGTAGTACCTTCCATATTGAGTCATGATGCCAGGAGGAAAGTAGGCGGTGTAACAGCCCCCGGAGTACTGTTCTTCGCACCAGTTCTTTTCTTCATAATGCACTGGCTGAAGTTCAACAGGGAGAACATTCCAAAGGAAAGACAAAGCTGAAATTCTACTGGTCAACAATGAAGGATCTTGTGTATTTTACTTTAACAAAATGTTTACACTTTTTTAAAAAGGTAGACCTGTTTTTCTAGCACATTTAAGGAGAAACATGACAGAGCCAAGTAATTGTCTTTTGTGAGTTATTATGTATACTTTGAGTTTCTCAACCTCTTGACTAGGGGAGATATGAAGTATTCTAATATCTGGACACAGGGCATCTGCAGGCAGATTCTGAACTCTTTAGGCCTAAGTCTACACGATACCCATCAATAATCAGGTTCTGGAAAGGTCTGGTCAAATCTCTGAATTCTCTAAGTAACAGACTTTACTTCCTCATCTACCAACACATTATTGCTGAAAAAAAGGGTGGAATGGAGGAGGTAGAAGATAAACACTGTCTAAGAAAGACTTTTTTAGACCACTGGTCTAAGCTAGGAAAGTGAATGATAGGAATTCTGATAAAAAGGGGAGAATTAAAGATTAAGATGTTTCTCAAGGGACATGAGAGAACCTTCTCTGATTTCCCTAAAACATTCTGCAAATTTATTTTTGAATAGTTCAGAGATAATCCCCTAAAAGAGTGCTAAGCTATCTGGTAGGATCTTGCGAAATCATTTCATTCTCATAATTACTTTCAGTGGTGGATTGAAAGCACTGAAATTCCTAATGAGCTATGAATTGAGTCTACAAATGGAAAAATAAATTAGTATGACTTTGACCTGGGCAGAGAGTTTAGATTCAGTTATACTGTCAAGTATATACTGCAGTGCCTTCACCAACAAATGATGATATATCTGGGATTTTATTTCACAGCAGTCAGCTGACTTTGACAGGAAGGCAGGCCCTTGGTTCTGGGAACTGATCTCATCCACCAGGGAGATAATACCTGCAGCTCTAGGCTCTGACTACAAGTGGCTGCCAGTTATTCAATGAACATTTAAACAGCCCAAGGAACCACTGTATCAGAAATTTCTTGCACCTGACAGCAGCTTTTAATGGCCTTCTGTGATTGCTGAAGTTAATCTTCCAGTAAGCATATCCCTTTATACTCTTTTCATAAGATTGTCAGAAAACTAGAATCTGCTTTGCTTTATCATTTACAGCAAATAGAGCAGAATCTGCCATATATTAAAGCTGGGCGTTCTTACTTGTAAAGCTTCTTCAGATCCCAGTACTTTGGAGTACAACTCACAGATTATTTTCTTTCTATAAAAAATAACCAAAAAATATTAAGGAAATAATAGCTGATGAGTATAGAATAAATGCGGTGAGTTCCAGGACTCTTGCCAATGAACCAGATTTATCAAGGAAACATTAAAATCAATCACCTTCTGTAACTACACAAAATGAACAGTTCCATGAATCCCTGCACTCCAATGAACTATGCTTCAATACAGTTATTTGATTTGAAGATTCAACAGCATTTGTTTTCTTTTTTACATGTTTGCTTCTCTTTCATTACCCAATACCATATTTATTGAAGATTAAAATGAGAAACATAATTTTCAGTTAAATTCAGTCATTTTAAAAATTGATTCTAAGTCACTTTCCTGTAGATTTCTAGAATAATTCTTATTAAAAGTGTGTAGTATGTATGATGGTGTCTTTTAACTATCGTATATTTATATTTTACAGGCACTACAAACATATAAAGCTCATTTAATCTTTTAAGCATAACATAAAATATGCTAGGCCAGGAGAGACTTATGGTCATTCCAGTCTAGTAGTCTGTCACTTGAGAGAATGGTTTGTGAACACAGGACTCCAAAGGGCATCTGGGGAGTGGGCATGATGTGAAGTTACCTCAAACACAACTTTGGCTATCCTCATAATTCCTTATGCAAATGACTAGCACAGAACACCAACACACAATACAATATATGGATGATGTATTATAGAATTGTATCCCTGAAACCTATATAATCTACTAATATCATCCCAATAAATAAATGCCACAAAAATCAATAGACTAGTTTATCTAAGCACTTATTGGAAGAGATAGATTTGGAACTCACAAACATTCCTGGTGAAATTTAAAAGTTCTAATTTACTAAACTCGTCCATTTTAGAAATGAATGGTTCTATTTCAGGATTTGTTGGAATGGGTTCACACTATGCAGTTATATACTTTTGGTATTTGCCTTCTTTAGTCTTTATATAGTTTAAATATTGAAATTGCTCCAAAATATTTGTTATAAGATAACAAGCAACAGGAAAAAGAGTTGCTAAAAATGTGGTGAAGGGCTTAATTCAAATCTGTAAGGTAAGCATTAAAAGCTAAAGAGACAAATGGCCAAAAATAGGAGGAGCAGGGGAGGGAGGGAAGGAGAGGCTATACTTACTAGTAATAAAACAGATTTTAAAAGATGACAATTTTATGTTGCCAGTTACTTTAGAAAATATTTTTAAAACACGTCCCCAGTGTCTCTAAATAATATTGGACAAAATTTAACCTTATAAATTTATCTGAATGCTCATGTTTGCACCATTTATATAACTCTCAGAACTTCCAGCTTGTGGATATAGTGTTAAGGCAGGAGAAGGAGGAGAAAGAATTATAAACAGTATTTATTGCCACCATTTTACCACAGAAGGTTTTAAGGGAGAGACAAATGCCACTCCTGAGGTGATGTCACGCAACATTAGGTGGCTATTTGAGTTCCAATACAGACAGAAAAAGTTTGTTTTCCCTTCAAGGAGCTGTTTATACTACAGATCAATAACCATACAGGAAAGGCAGAACTGGAAGAATTCTCAAAACTACTGTCCTCCTTTCTCTGCCTAATACAAGCTCCTCATTCAGAGATAAGAAGGTCGCGGCTCAGTGTGTTGAAGAGAGTTGTTCCACATCATTCAGCTAATTAATGACAAGGCTGAGGCTCAACTCTGCTGAGCATTCCACCTGTAGTAAGAGCTCAATAAAAATTTATTGGAACAAAATCATTCCTCAGCCTAGAATGGTACTCTCTATGATATAGATAGAGAGGGTTGATACTTACCTACTTGACATGAGGTTACAAGGAATAATGCTAGCATTCTGAGTCAATTAAAAAGCAAAAGTTTTGACAATCATTCTGAAAAGCTTAATGAGGTTTAACTTATTTTCAAGACATATAATAAAATATTTATTAAAAGAGAGTAAAACTCAAAATCTAATCAACCTACATTGCAGACATTTTTTCATTCATGAATGATAAACCAGTTATAATAGAAATATAAGTCATTATTTATTATATTTCATACTATTAGTTAAGTCAAGAATGAGTTCATACAAATATATCAGAAAATTATCTTCCCCATTCCTTTTTCCTGTTAAAATTTAAAAAAAAAATTGGAAAAGTACGTAATACAAGGATGTTGGAGCAATGCACTGACTGATTAGTTGGGCTCTAAAAATGATAGAACATATTTTAATGATGGCCAGAAAAAGTCACTGTGTAAATCATTTTGTAGCTGAATTTACCGACTGGTTTCTAAACCTGACTGCTCATCACAATCACTTGAAAAGTTTGTTAAATAATACAAATACTCAGGCCCCACCCCTAACGTACCGAATTTTAAACTATCAGCCTCAGAAAAAGATATTTTCCAAACATTCTTTTTAAAAAATTTAAGTATAGTTGTTATACAATCTTATATTGGTTACATCAATTTCAGGTGTACAGTGCAGTGATTTGACATTTTTATACCTTACAATGTGATCACTCCACTAATTCCAGTAATCATCTGTCACCATGTAAACTTATCCCAATATTATTGACTATATTCCCCTTCCTCTTTATAGAGGTACCCTTACCTCTATACCCCTTCCCTCTGGAAACCATTCCTTTGGTCTCTGCTCATATGAGTCTGTTTGGTTTTGGGTTTGTTTATTTGTTTTAGATTCCACATATAAGCAAAACCATGTGATATTTGTCTTTATCTGTCTGACTTATTCCACTTAGTGTAATACCCTTTAGGTCCATTCATGTCGTCACAAATGGCAAGATTTCATTCTTTTTTATTGCTGTGTAATATTCCAGTGTGTGTGTGTATGTGTGTATGCACACCACATCAAACATTCTATGGAAGATTTTGATGCAGTCAGTTCTGGGAACTGTTGCTCCAGTCAACGGTTCAGACTTCTAAGGGTTTTGTCATATAAAAACTTTTGAGAAGTTCAGATACCATTTGGAATTATAACCAAATGTCTACACCCAGGCTGGTATTTATTTTATTATTAACAAGGAGGGGAAGCAGGAAATCCAAAAGAAAATGTCAAGCTTAGTGTGGCATAATGAAAGAAAGTATGCATTAGATGCTATTCCTGACTTTGTGATAAGCTAGATGCGGAGCCTTGGCCAAATCATTCCCCATCACTAAATCCACAATTCTTCTTCTATCAAGTGAGTAGGTGAACACTAAAGTAGTTCCCCTTCCTGACATCAAATCTCATGGTAGCTCAAATAAACTAATCCATGTGCAAATGTGGGTACTTCTGCAGCCTTTCCCTGACTTCCATGGTCATCCAAGCAATTCTCAAAGCAAGGGCTGCTAGTAGATTTGCTGTTTAATGTTTAAATTAAATGCAGAGAGAAGTATACATTGATGTGTGTATTGGTCCTCTTCAAAAGCTAGCAATTCCCAGAGGTAGCTCCCCAACAGTCAAATGACTGTATCCAGATATAATTTTATTTGAACAAATGCTTCCAAGGCAAAACAAAACAAAACAAAAATACAATAATGTGGAAAAAGAGAAAAGGAGAAATAAGGAAAAGGCTGTTGTCTTTAAATTATTTTATGCTAGGAAGCTTTTGGGAGAAGGGAACAGTGCATGTCAGAGAACCTTAGTAAAGGGATAATGATCTTGCAAGGTGATTTGGACTGAGTCTAAAACTTTTTTCACAGCTAACACCTTTATGACTTTTCTCCATTCATCTTACACAGGAACACTGACCTCTCAACCACTATAAAATAAAAACAAATGTGTAAAATTAAATTAATATATGCTTATGGGTAAGTACTGTCAAGGGGCTGTAGCAAAATACAAAAGGTTGACTTATTAAGATTTCAAGAATATTAGTGAATTATTGTGTTTTTCATAATGCTATTATATTGTTAGTGTAACAAGCACAATATAAAGCTAACCTGCTGCATGTATTTCAGAAATAAATTCTTACCTTTGGTCTTTTTGGAGTTTAGTTAGGTGGATGGCTTTTCGAGCAAGAATGAAGCTGGAAAGAGAGGTTACATTTCAACTATTAGGTGACAATGGTTTATCTTAAGAGTTGCCTCTTCTTTTTGAAGTGTTCTTGCCTCCACCTACTCAGCACTAATGAAATCTCTCACATCCTCTCAATACTTACCTCTATTAGAATAAATGTCATCTTTAGCCTGCCTTTAGTCTGCCTCTGTATCCAAAACCCTTGCTAAGTTGTGGGCTTCTAAATGACAGGTGGCATCTTATTCAATATTTTACCCCAAAAATTTGGCACAGTTTTTGTCATATAGTAAGAAATCAAATGTCAGAAAAAATTAATGTTGCATAAAATGATTATCCTGGTAATGACTATTGCCTTCTGTTAAGTACTTGATAAAAGCTGTAAAAACAAATATAAATAAGTGTTTGTACTGGATGCCATAGTAAGCCACCCATATTCCTCTTCAGGACCAACCACTCATTACCTACAGCTCACAATTGAACCTTTCTCCAGCAATTACACTCTGCAGCAGAAAACTGACTGCCTCAAGATCCCCTGCCCCTCCCCAGAATGACTAGCTCAGGAGTGCAGTGGGGTACCAAGGCCCACTCTCTTGCCTCAGTGCAGGATGCCTTTGAAGGATCATTCAGCTCCATAGCTCACTGTGGGATGTCGGGCCTCTATAGGATCAACATTAGAAACCAATCTCTCTCTCTCCCTAATCCTAAATTTTTGCCTTCCCCACAGGTAGTGATCCCCAGAGCACTTCCCAACAAACCTCCTGCACCCAAATCTCCGTCTCTGAGTTGACTTCTTGGGAAACTTGCCTAGCACATTCCTCAAATTTAGTAATTTAGTAAAATTAAGTTATAATCTGTCTGCTTCCCTTTAAGCAAATACATTCTTTTTTTATACTGATATTACTAATACCATGTATATTTAAAAAAATTAATTGTGACAAAAAGTCCTTAGTTATATTATACTATTACTAGAAAATATATTTTTTAAAAAAATTCTAATGAGCTAAGGTTCAACTAGGTTATATCTCCATTTAAAAAAGTTTAAAAATTGTATTTTTTTTTTGGTACTAGACAAAAAAGACAAGTAAATCAGGACTGAAAATGCAAGGTCTAAAAACATGTATTTTGTCCTCTCTCTCACCCCCAAATTAAATTGTTTCTCAGTTTGATTGGCAGTTCCTTTAGAGCTGTTATTTGAGATCATTCTGGGAAATAAAGACACAAAAATATATCTGTGTTAATCCAGAGAATGGTATTTCAGAGAAAGTTGTAGACTGTTTAAGAAATTTGAACTATTGTACTTCATGGGATATAATCATAATTTTGCTTAACACCTTATGTTATAGCTTGCTAATAATGATTTTAGTTAAATTTTAAGTTTATCAAGAATCAGTCATTTTAGACTAAGTAATTATTTCAATGAAAATCAATTATCTGATGAAAGATTAAATAATTTAGCTGAAAACCTCTTTAGATCTTGGGTGCTTTTTACAGTTCCTTTTCTAAAGGGCAGTTAGTGTTGGCTCTTTCTGTCGAATCTCAAGTTGAGAATGAAATAACCTCTTAGATCTACTTTAATATGAACAACTGTCCTTTAGGGTTTTTTTGGCGTTTTATTGAAGAAATCAAACACTCTGGCTTTGGGTTGGGAACATTTCACAACTCAAAAGTACAAGTTCCTTTCTAGCTTCCAAAAGGCACTAATGATCACAAATGCAGTACTGGGCAATTAATACTCCTATCGTCAAGGTTTTCCTTGCCCAGAGCAAAGGGCAGGGTGGAGGCAATATAGTTTCAAGGCAAGAACAGGATGGATGTAATTATCCAGATAAAACATTTTAGAAACTGCATAAATAACCCCATTGCTTTATGGAAAGTTTCTGCCACACGTGTCATTGTTAATAAAGCATGAAGAAAGCCAAGAAGGGCAGATGCTACAATATCTAAATCCCAGGGCAAGAAGAACATCTATGTTCTTCCATCAACAAGTGGACTGATCTTGATTGAGTCTTCTAAAATCTCTATGTTGACCTCCTGCTCTCCTTTGGCATATAGAAGGTGATGCCAAACTGCACAATCTGTATCCTTTCCTGCCCACGGTGGTTAGAGATGAGGAGGATGTATTGTTACTGTGGCTATTATGTTGTGAGTACTTGCCCTTCCCAAGGAGGCCGATGTTGTTTTTTATATTTTACAGCCAGAGAAGTGGTTACAAAATGCTCTGTTGGCAGTCTGGTAGCCCAGCCTGTTTTCTAAGTCCCTTGGGTCATGATCTGGTCCTTTTGTTTTCGTAATTTCCCTCCAAAGATGCAATAAGCATGAGTTCAATTCTCTCAGGGGGAAAGGGAAAAATCACTGGTCCCTAAAAGTCACTTGACTGCTATATATGCTGTGCTCTTTTGTTGTCATGTGGTAGAATAAATAGCCCTTTTGTTTGTATAGCTTTGAGGAGGGCTAAAAGACATGGCAACTGGGAGGCTGTGGCACTCCTTAGTAATCTGTGGGAGCCTCGTTCCCTCTCTGGACTCCTAGTTCTCTAAGGGCAGAGCAGCTGTGTGTGGAATTGGGAGGAGAAGAGCTCTCCTCTTCCAGGCACAGAGCTTCTCCCTGGACCATCCCTGGTGAAGGACAGCCAGGGAATGACCTACTAGAAAAACTGCCATTTACTTGAGGCCTAGCTCTGCTTCAAAGTACACTTCCTAATTGGTCATCAGTCTTATATCCCAGAGAAACAATGAACATATTAACATTTCCTATGTAGCAATGTTTGGAATGGAGAAAATGATAAATCCTAGAAACCCTAACTTTGGAAGATTTTACAGGATAAAATAGTTCTCATTCCAGAATGGTTGTGGATACTCTGACTCTAGGCAGAGTTGTCTACCACACCACCTATTTAGTTGCTTCTTTCACTATCCTCAAGATATATAAGTTCATGGAGGAAAAAATATATGGGCACAAATTCAAATGGTGTCAATTTTAGTAAAGCTTTCCAGTGTTCTTGTGCTAAGTACAAAATATTACTCTAATATTTTAATACGTGGAAACATGATATATTTCTATAGGGTTATTTATCATTGCTTGAGCTTGATTCCAGAACACTATGGTCTCCCAGTGTACACACCAATACACCAACACCATTTGGAAAATGCCGATCACCCAACTCTAACTTACCCCATGATAGCAGGCAGTGATCCATCTGGCTTGGTGTCATCCAGGGTTATCGAAATGGGAGCCTCCTCATCTTGGATGATCATACAACCACAGTAGTCTTAACCAGAAGAAAACCAATAGGATATTGAAACTGACCTCATCAGAGATTTAGAAGAAAATTTCCCTCTTTCTCTCTCTCTCACTCGCTCTCTGTGTGTATGTGTGTGTGTGTGTGTGTATATAGCTAAGGGAATGACAAAGCTTAAACTATTGGTCTTTGCCCCAACCTTAGAATCTATTTCTTATCAAATACACACACTTGACTATACAAGATGTCTGTTCACCCAGGTACATGAAAAATGATCCATCTTGATGACCTTTACATAAAGGTCATGTATGACAAATGCATGACTAAAATTTTAAGATGATCTTGGAGCCTTGGAATACGTAGGGAAAGAGGGGGTGTGTTAGAGAGAATTACCCCTATGAACTCATGGAAGAAGTGGCAGGAAAGAATCCTCTGAGTATGAGCAGAAAGCTTATCAACAATAGTCACCATATCTGCCCAGATCTTGCCTTATTTAATCCTCACAATAACCTGAAGTAGGTTTCACTGTTACCATTTTACACAAAGAGACTGATACTGAGAGGAGTGAAGTATCACACCACAGGCCACACCGCTAGTAAGCAAGTGAAGCCCAGGAATGTGTGAATTCAGGGCAGTGCTCTGTCCATGTTGCCTCTTTGTCTGTCTCTACTCATGAAGACTAAGTGGGAGGACATATGCCAGGAGCCAGGGTAATGGTGGCCTTGCAATTACTGGGATCTCTTCCTTCCCTTTCACTGCCCGCAAGTGTTCTTAGGGTCATTTTGTGTTAAGAGGGGAGATAGGAAATGAACAGACTGAGATTTCTGCTCCTTTCTCTACCAATTTGAAACCACTTACCTTTTTTTCTATTCCGTGTCTAGTATAATGTTCCTAAAAAAAAGTGCAGTTCCTTCACTTAATTCAATTTAAACATGAATAAATGCAGCCTACCCTTCTTCTTCCAAAAGGCTTCCTTGTAATACATCATACACTTAATGATAGCTCCCATTGGAAGACGTTGCACTAACTGGTTTCTCTCCGATGGCAGCTCTGGATTAAAGTGAATCTTGGCCGTCAGAGTTGGAGGGATGGCACTAATTACATATTTGCACTAAAAGACACAAACACAGAATACCACCTCAAACGTGAGTCAGAATGTTTGAACGGGGTGTGAAACATGATATATATAATTTTGAGTGACACTGAGCAGTAACAGCATATGAAATGAGGCCACAATGAGTCAAAAAACAAGACAGGTCAACCAAGGCTGGTCATTTGGAAGAATGAGTTGGAAACATGCCAGCATTAATTATGGCACTGCTTGGATTATATTTGGTTAGAAGCTACAGAAGACACAAGGCCTATTTAATATATGCTCCTTTTGACGAGACCCAATTACCTCATAAACGTCATGATTCAATGTCTTTATGATGATGTTGTCACCTGACTGGTCAACACAGGTAACAGGTTGACTTAGCTTCACTCTGTCCCCGAGGCGGCGCATTATCAGTTCACTCACTTGACCAGATCCACCTACGAACTTCCGTTCCTATAGGAGAAGGCAGGCAGGAAATATTATAGAAGCCCAAGAAAGGAATATAGTATTTGCTACTGCTTAGAAAACCTCCAGAATGTCAGAGGCCATACCTCCTCCCTCTGTACACCTAACTGTTGGAAGAACTCATTAGGTCAGAAGCAAAGTCTACCAAGAGACCTCAATTATCATGCTCTGCAGTTTCTGGCAATGAAAAGCAGATACTAGTTTATAAAGTCACAGAATCGAAATAAATGTCCTCCTATACCAGTGGTCCCTTGACTAAATGCAAATATCAGCAAGTCTGTGGGCTTCAAATGCCCAAGAGTTCAGTGTATGGAGGGAACCCTGGGAAAGGGCTGGTGCTGTGCTTCTCCCAAGGGATATGGTTTCTTTTTGTAAAAATTAATTATGTTTTCTAGTTTTATTGAAATGAGGATACAGTTTCTAACTTCCTTTGGCTTCTCAAAGCCCTAGCCAAGGGTTGTCCAGGCAGATTAAAATGTTTTCTAAACGAACAGGCTCAAGATGCTCTTGTAAATCATCTAACCATCACCCAATGATGTTCTAAGCATTTAAATCTCAGATATTGAGTAAGTTTCTGCAAAATGTCTAGAAGTTTCCGTGTGGGGGCAGAAGGGTGAAAACTAAGCACCTGCTTATTTCTCCAGACATTGTTAAATAGTTCTCTTGAAGAGCCCTATAAGACCATGAGTGCTCTGCCCCACTGAAATCTGCTATACCTACCTTGGAAATGGTTCCAGCTTGATCTCAAAAGGTAAGTCCCTAATACAATGCATTTTGTAAGAAACAGGCATATACTTAGCCTGTTGCAGAAGATTCTCTGAATGGTTAGAAATACATGTAGGTAGACTGAAGCACAGCCCAACATTTGACAGTTAGGTACTTCAATCATGCTCCTCTAGAAAACCTTGCATGAGCAGCCACACAGTGATTTTTCAGCTTCTATAACTAGCTATTGTTCTAATGACACCACTAAAGTTCTTTATAAAAATATGCCCATAGTAGTTCAGACCTAAGTTCATGATCTGTATTTCCTCAAGAAACTGACACCATTTAATTTCGAATTTGACCTCTGTTTTCTAAGACTTACTTTGAATTTTAGTATAGTGGAAATGAAAAGACCATGGACTATTTTCAGCTTGTTCACTGTCTACCCCTCCATGTCTAGCATTGGTTGAATTAAAGTATTAAAGAGTAAATATATAAGTTCTTTATAAAGATATTGTGACAATTGTTTGAGAATCATAATATGAACTGTGCTTTCCAAAAGGTTGTGCAGCATTTGGCTAGAAGTACTTTGGCTCCTCTGAATAAATCAAGATACCCCAGAAAGTAAAATATAGGTTTAAAGGAGTAATGTGTTATTTCTGCCTGTAAGTAAAGAAAAAAATGAAACTGTCTTGCATTTGCTAAAGCTAAGGGTCAAAGAGCAATAACTCTTGGGGATACAAGAACAATTTGGGGACTTTTGGATATCTCCTAAGGAGAAGAATAATTCACTTAGCAGAGACTCTACACCTTGTACTGTGGAACACAGCAAAGTTAAAAGTAAACTTTTCTTGCCCAGCCAGGCATGGCTCAGTGGTTGAGCGTCAACCTAGGATCCAGGCGATTGGGGTTTGATTCCCGGTCAAGGCACATGCCCGGGTTGCGGGCTTGATTCCCAGCCGGGGGCATGCAGGAGGCAACCGATCAATGACTCTCATCACTGATGTTTCTCTCTCTCTCCCTCTCCTTTCCTCTCTCTGAAATCAAGAAAGATTTTTTTTTTTTTAAAGTAAACTTTTCTTAATTAAACCTCATCCTACTGAGGCATAATATTCCTAGGAAAGAGAGACCCATTTTCTTTGTAAACAGGAGAACCTTGAAACAATCTCAGAGGCTGAAAAATTGGAGAATTAGGATTCTGGCCTCACTACTGGTTTGCTGTGCATCCACCCAATCAGCTAAATGAACCCATAATGGAAGTGGTATGCAACCAGGCAAATTCTAGTTGGCAGTTAAACTTTAGAATCCAAAATGTAGAATTTACTATTGAAAGACTGGCCATAAATCAATATGAAAATTAGAAGAAAGAAAAATAACTTCCATTCTATAATAGTTAATGAAAAAGAATAACTAAGTTACAGAATGAGACAAAAAAGCCTTATGTCTAGAGTACAAGTGACTTTAAGTACAATAATTTTACAAGTACAGTAATCCCCTCTTTATATGTGCGGGATATGTTCTAAGACCCACATGGGTGTCTGAAACCATGGATAGAACCAAACCTAATATATATTATGTTTTTTCTATACATACATACACACACTTTACAACTTCTCTTTGGCATATCTGAATTACCAGTATCAGTACTCTTGCACTTGGGGGCTATTATTAAGTAAAATAAGGGTTACTGGAACACAAGCATTGTGATACCACAATAGCTGAGATGGCTACTAAGTGATTAACAGGTGGGGAGCATCTACAGTGTGGAGACATTTGACAAAGGGATAATTCATGTCCCAGGCCAGACAGAGTGGGAGGATTCGAGATTTCATCTTGCTTCTCTGAACACTGCACAATTTAAACTTGTGAATTGGTTATTTCTGGAATTTTCCATTTAATATTTTCAGACTGCAATTGACTATGGATAACTGAAACCACTGAGAGAAAATCCATGGATGGGGGGCAACTGTACTCTAAATTTTTGGAAATTAGTTATTTCAGTAATTTAGCTCTCCCTTACATAAATAGCTTAATTTTACCTACCTCTAAAAGGAAAGAACTGAATTCTCAAAACCAAATTAATTCAAAATGAAACATTCGTTAGCTGTGAATTTATCTTCAGGGATAAGGAAAATAAATTTTAAAAAAATGTTTTTGGAAAAGTTTTTTGAGGTCATTTCAAGCTGCTAATTATTCATGTTCAAAATACAGAAGCAATTATTACAACGCTGATCTGGGTGAGGGCAAAAATCTCAAATTAAGTTATATTTGCAAAAGGACACTCCATACCTGGCCCCCATTGGTAACTGAGAATATCCGAGTGGTTCCACCGCACTGCTTCACATACCACAAGAACCATAGGGCAGAAACCTCATGAGGCTCAGAGGTCACATTGATGTTCACAAAGAGATACGCAAACTGCTTAGCAGTCCTGGTCACAGAACAAGAGCAGATGTCAGAGGTAGATACATATATACTTCATAGGATATCATGGTTTTAAAACACAATTTAATACGGTTAGAAAATATTTCTATAGCTTTTGAAAAAACAACTCATGAACTCAATTTCTGGAGGAATGCATATTTTATCTCTTGGGGAAAATAAACTTTCCCTTTGTTTTTAGGAAATTATGAGTTAGCTTCAAATATGCTAATCCCAGCGCATTCTAAAGGATCAATATGCTACTCAGGGGTAAATAAGGATATCTGTTCTCACATATTTGAATAACCACACTATATTCTCCACCTCCACTGCCCCACCCTGGCCCAGGCTACCAATGACTATCACCTGGGTTACCATGGTGACTTCTCATGGTTATCCCTAACTGGTTGTCTTATATTCACTCTTGAAGCTTCTTTAAATTATAGCCAATGAAGTATTTTTTTTGAGAGAGAGAGAAAGGATGGGAGAGGGAGAGAGGAAGAGAAACATTGATGTGAGAGTGGAACATCCATCAGCTGCCTCCTGCACAATCCCCAAGGGGAATTCAACCTACAATCCAGGCAAGTGCCCTGGTCAGTGTGGCTCAGTTGTTAGGCATCGTCCTGTGCATCAAACGGTTGCTCAGCTTTTATAAAAGCTGTTTGTTGTTCTCTCCACCTGGGAAAGAACTTCTCCAAACCATCCACTCTTCATAACTCCCACCATTCACTATGGCTCATTCCTGGAATACACCACCCTTCACACCATTCATCCTTTCAGGTCTGCACCCATTCACAGTGTATAATTCTTGAAAGATACCATCCCCTCATACCATCTATGTTTCCCCCAACATACCCCAACTACTGTAGTTTATTCCTGGAAGATACCATCTACAAATGCCACCCATCTTTTATGTCTCCCCCTAATCCATTGTGACTCACTCTTGGAAGACACCACCTCTCTACACCATCCCTTCCTGTCTCCCTCAGGCACTGTGGCTCATTCCTGGAAGATACCATCCCCCACAGAATCTCACCTTCTTGTATACCCCCATAAAATGTGGTTTATACATGGAAGACACCATCCTTCTACATCTTATATCCTTCCTATCTCCTCCGCCCAGACACTGCAGAGCATTCTCAGATTATACCACTCTTTCATAGCCTCTCTTTTTGTACCTCCCCATCCACTATGGCTTATTCCCGAAAGATACTATCCCCTCTACTATCTATCCTCCTGTCTTCCTATGCACTGTGGCTTATTCTTGGAAGATACTTTGTACTCACATCACACAATCTTCCTGTTTCTCTCCCACCCCCCTCATTGCAGAAAAATACTATTCTCTCATTCCTGGAAGATACTTTCCCATGACTTTATCCAGTCTTCCTGTATCCCCTACCCCATTCATTAATTCATTCTTGGAAGATACCATCTGCACACAACATCCATCTTTCTTGTCTCCTTCCCATCAATTGAGGCTCGTTCCTGGAAGATACCATTCTACCAATGCATCTATCCTTATTGTCCCCCATAACCCATGTACTGTAGTTCATTTTTAGAAGATATCATCCTCCCACAACGTTCATCCTTAACCATCTACCCCCATCTATTGTGGCTCATTCCTGGGTGATACCACCCTTTCACCATCATCTCTTCCTGTCTTCCCCAACCCCTATGGCTTATTCCTGTAAGATACCATCCCCCTACTCCATCCATCATTCATGTCTCTCACCATCTACTGTTGCTCATTCCTGGAAAGTATCATTTTCCCATACCATCCATCATTTCTGTCTCCAACCATCCACTGTGACTCAATTTTGGAAGATACCAATCCTCCACACTATCTACCCTTCATGTCTTTCTCCAATGACTATTGCTCACTCCTGGAATGTGGCATCCCACCATATCACCCATCTTTTCTGTCTCCTCTCATGCACTGAGGTTCATTCTTGGAATATACTATCCTTCACACCATACACTATTCCTATCTACCCCTAGTAACTGGCTCGTTCTTGAAAGATACTATTCAAACACACCATCCATCTTTCATGTCTCCCTCATCTACTGTGGCTCATTCCTCAAATGTACTATCTACACACATCACCCACCTTTCCTGTTTCTCCCATTTACTGTCACTTATCGTGGAAACACACTGTCTTATACTATCCATCTTTGCTGTCTCTTCATCCACTACAAAACATTTCTAAAAGATATCATGCCCACACACCTTTGACCTTTCCTTGTTTCCTCCCATCCTCTTTAGCTTATTTTTAGTTGATGCTCTAACTTTTTGGTTTCTGTTTAGAGATTGCCTCATCAAATACCTCCTTTATTCTCTGACATTTTAGGTTCACTGTTACAGTCACTCTCCTTGCATTATGTAATTTTGTCTGTAATGCCAGTATTCTGCTAGAAGACTGTAAACTCTATGAGGGTAGGGGCCTTGTTTAACAAATTCACCACTCTTCCTCAGTGCTTGGTACAGTGCCATCACATAGCAGCCCCATATGGTGACTGAATAATCTGTAAGTAACTCAGCTAATAACACAGATTCTTACTGAAAACATTATGTAGTTTATATTATTTGTTAAAATATACTAGTGTGCCTCCAGTTTCATATTTTTGTATCTATATGGAATTACTTTAATGTCTTTTCAAATTGCTTCTATAGCTGACTGCTATATAATCTGGAAACATTGGTACTTGTTTTATTGCAAATCACACAACCTTTTCATTAAAAAAAGTTCTACTTCATTCATCTACTTTCTTCCTATGTTTTAGTTTCATTTTATGTTCAAACCTGCTCTGAAATCTCTAAGTGCCCTCAATGTTGTTACTGACTGGAAAATCATTAGGTTTCCCTTTAACTATTTTCCAATAACTTATAAAGAAAAATTCTGCAGTTCAAGATAAGGTAGAAAGAATCAGAATGGAATTTAAAAGTAAATTTTAAATAGTCAAGATTACTGTGTCCAGCAGATTTTATCAATAAGTTCTTTCATCGTAATTCTGTCCCATTCTTCAGCATGTGGGGCACTCCATGGTGCATCAGCTGGAATCTGCAGAAAAAGAAGGGCTCATATTCAGATGTGATGGTTACTTTCCACTGCCCTGCCAAGGTACCCTAAGAAGAACCTCTGAAAGCTGGTCTCTCTGTGCATGTTGGAATATGTGATTGGCATACAATTCAATGTATATTTATAGTTAGTGATAAGTTTGGGATGGATAGCATTTAGATTCTATTCCTTAATGCTGTTATCAGAATAATAATAATATATAAATGCATGTATAAATATGTAACAAATTAATATGTAATATGTATATGTAAATTAATGGTCTTTGATGATGATAATTATTATTATTGAAAGCTAACACCCATTTTAAGTCCCCAATTTAAATTTGACAGTGATATTACAAAGCCTGAGACTAAGTAAAAAACTTTGGAGAAAAAAATCTTTCTCTTCTTTACTACTAAAGTGGCATCACATATGGGTAAGACACCTATAAGTAGGGTACCTGGTGAACATAAGTCACATAGATTCTCAATGGCAGAGAGTGGAAAGCACACAAGCATTAGTATTAGGTGGATGTGGGTTTGAATCCTGGTTCCCTTGCTGTGTGGTCTTGGGGAAATTACGTAACTCCTTGGCACTCATTTTCCTCATTTGTAAAATGGAAATACCACCAACTTTGCAGAGCTGTTGGGTGTATTGGAAATGATATGTTTCATTATCCAGAGCAATGTTCCCTGTACCATGGAAGGATACTAAACAGTTGCTATTGTTATTTTAGAAACAGGTCCTGTGCAAGCTGAACACAGAGTTTACCTCCTTTCCCATGTTATCCATTGTCCGCCACAAGTTGTTGTAATCCAGATATGCGATGGGGTTCCAGACTGGAGGGAAGGCACCCCGAAATGGGTAAGTTTTCCCCTGTAACATAAAAACAAAGGATATGCATAGCCCATGGACACAGGCAATAGTGTAGTGAAGGCCTGGGGTGGGGCAGGGGCTGGGTGGAGGGAGGCAAATAGGGAGAAGATGGGGGGACATTTGTAATACTATCAAAAATAAAAATATATATATTAAAAACAACAACAAAACAAAGGATAATGCCTTAAATGAGGATAGCATTTTAAAACCTTAAAACCAACCAATCTAAGTAAACCATTTTCAAAGTAGTATGATCCTCTAGCAGGGGTAGGGAACCTTTTTTCTGCCAAAGGCTATTTGGATATGTATAACATCATCCAAAAGCCATACAAAATTATCAACTTAAAAATTAGCCTGCTATATTTAGTCAAACATTTCATTAACTCACCCCTAATGTGATGGTTGGAACTGCTTCTCTTTGGTGAGGCCTTGGGAGGGCCAGACCAAATGATTTCATGGCCCTATATGGCCCACGGGCCAGATGTTTCCCACCCTTACCTACTGTATCAAAAGCAACAGATCTAGGTAGTTTTTAAGGCCTTATTTCCTAATTTAATCATTTTTTCTTTAAAAATAAAACACCTTGCGAATCTTCATAAGGTCAAAACATCTACTAATAAAATTTTGCATGAAATTTTGATGTTTTATCAAATAAAAACATTAGATATTTGTAGAAAGCCTACTGTGTGCACTGCACAACATGAACAGCTGTGTTGGATTTGTTACAAAAGGGCTAATACAAAACTCCTGACCATCAAGGCAAGGACAAAAGACATAACAGCATTTGCATTAATGTGTGCACACTTGCAAACGTGTGCACACACACTCCAATTGAGTAAAAATATATGCAGCAGTAAGTGACAAAGAAGTAATTTTTTCCTCCACAGTAAAAAATTCAGACAACCTTAGCAGATTATGTGATCTGACTTCTTACCTGAAAATACTATGTTGTAATGCTGTAATACTTTTTGAGACTCCAAATTCTTTATCATCATTACCACCATCATTACTAACATTTATTAAGATCTTTTTCCATTCCTGGCACTGGCCTAAGCTCTTCATATCCATTATCTAATGTAATGCTTACTCCAATGCTGAGAGGCAAGCACTATTAATATTTCCATTTTATAAATGAGAAAATTAAATCCTGGGGATATTAGCTAGAAAATAGTAGGATGGAAATTTTCTGTTCCCAAAGCATTTGCTCATATACATTAAATTTTCTGGCCTCCCATACGGTTGATGAAATGTTGAGATAGGCTTGTTTTAGAGACATCTTAAACTTCCCAACTTTTCAAAGAGAACTTTAAAATGTGAAACTTATAAATCTTCCACTCATATATTTTATAATTCTAAAGAGTAAAAATGGAGACTAAAGAGCTCTGGGGTATAAGACGATCAATGAGAAAATAAGGTCATCTTTGGAAAGTGTTGAAACATGTTCTGAGAGAAATGGGCAGAGACATGTTACCCAGAACACAAAAATAGCTATGGAAAGGGGAGAGAATGAGGTTAAGTAATAGCTCATGGGCAATCTTCACAAGAGCTGATTCTTGTTATAATTTTTCCCTTAATTAAAATTGGGAAAAATCTACATTTTTCCACTATAAGATGAATTTATACTCAAGTTAACAGTCTCATAAAAAACTCTTCTTTGCTTTTAAAAATTATTTTAAAAAATGAAATATGCTCAATCATCTGGGGGTATTAAGGAAAGTATTATAAATATAATTCAACAAAAAGTGTCCCACATTCCTAACGAAGTTCTTCTCAGGACAATGCCAACCACAGTATGATTTTGTGCAAGGTGTTAAAGATCCCATGAGCTTAG